AACGGACAAACCTCGCCAATACAGTCCTTCTCCTCAAGTCTCTCGGCGTACGAGACTTGCTAGACTTCGACTTCATGGACCCGCCACCCCAAGACACAATAACAACTTCTCTCTTTGACCTCTGGGCCCTCGGCGCCCTCGACAATATTGGCAACCTCACAGAACTCGGACGCACCATGACCGCCTTCCCCATGGACCCCTCTCTCGCCAAACTCATCATCACAGCCACAGAAATGGAATGTAGCGAAGAAATGCTCACAATCGTCGCCATGCTCTCCGTGCCCTCCGTATTCTACCGCCCCAAAGAACGCCAAGAAGAATCCGACGCCGCACGCGAGAAGTTTTTCGTCCCGGAGTCTGACCACCTCACCCTCCTACACGTATACACGCAATGGAAAGTAAACGGCTACTCCGACGGCTGGTGCATCCGCCACTTCCTGCACCCCAAAGCGCTACGCCGCGCAAAGGAAATCCGCGACCAGATCTACGACATCATGTCCAAGCAGAAAATGAAGCTCGTCTCCTGCGGTACGGATTGGGATGTTATCCGTAAATGCATCTGCTCGGGCTACTACCACCAAGCCGCCAAAGTGAAAGGCATAGGCGAGTACATCAACCTGCGTACTAGCGTCACCATCCAACTCCACCCCACATCCGCTCTGTACGGCTTGGGTTACCTACCCGATTACGTCGTATACCACGAACTCATCCTCACGAGCAAGGAGTACATGTCGTGTGTCACATCCGTGGATCCACATTGGCTCGCAGACATGGGTGCGGTCTTCTACAGCATCAAAGAAAAAGGGTATTCGGCGAGGGATAAGCGTATCATGGAAACGGAGTTCAACAGGAAAGCTGAGCTGGAGGCGCAGATGGCGGTGGACAAGGCGAATGAGGATAGGAGGATTGCGGAGGAGGAGAACGGGCCTGTGGTTATGAAGAAGGGGGTGGTGAAGAAGAAGGAGAAGGATGGGGAGGGGGTGGTTAAGAGACCGGTTGTGGGGAAGAAGAAGTTTGGGAGGAGGTAGATGGGTGGGATGGCATGTGTGTAGGGTTTTAGACGGATGTATTGAGAAGAGAGGCTGAATATACAGGGTGGATCGATTGGTACACCTTGCAGGATACGTTTATGTAATTCTGTCTCATTGATCATACCTAAACCACACCAGGAGATCCTCAGCTACTTTCCGCAGATCAGTCGTCTAGCTCATGACCTATTGTGGCGACTACATCAATCGAAATGCGAGTACACAGATTCCATAAATTGGGTTACAGAAACGGCAAGCCTGGGAGGGCGGCATACATGTAGCCTGTTGGTTATGTCTAGCAACTAAAGTACGTCTGCAACGCCCGTAGCCGCTCGACGGGTAACAATCGTTGCAGAAGACCATATATGGCTTCCAACCCCGCTCTTCAGAGCCACTGATCTGTCTAGAGAGTGACATCCTGTGTTCCCACACCGTAAGATTTACGAAGTGAGATACCACCCTGAGAGTAACACACCGCTTGGCATCTTTCTCATGATCAGATGGACGCCTTGGTATAGTCGTCTGTTGCCGAGATGAGACGTCTATATAAATCCCTAATACAGCATCTGCATGCTTCAGATCGTTATTACTGTTCCTCCCAACATCAACTTGAACACTTCCTGAAGATGCATATCCTCCCTTTCCTCGCTACCTTTCTCACGGTCTCGGCCGCGACTATCGCAATCCCTGCCGAAACCCCCTCTGATGCTACCGCTGCTCAAGCTTGTCCTGGCCGACGCATCAGCTGGGAGGGCGGAGGCTGTGAGCGCAACTGGGGAAGGGACTGTCTGAATCGCTGCTTGAATGCTGCAGGGGGTAAGCGATGCTGCCCTCGTTCGGTCGGTTGGTATCAAGATCGCGGAGGGTGTTGGTTGGGCTGGGAGACTTGCCGGTGTACCTGTAATGCCTAGGCAGTGTAGTTACGCCACCGCAATGATGGTATGGAAACCTGGCGACTGTTGTTTGAGCGTGAAAGAGTTTTCTAACGCTTCCGTTATAGTTGAGCTTATCTTGGGGTTAGTGCGCTGTCCCGGGTTTTGGTACTTGGATAGCGGTTGCGTCGATTGGAGAGCGGTGTATTCGTGGCTTTCGTCGTCTACATTACGAGTGGTACAAGTCTGGCACGAAAGTCCAATCATTTGGAGGTATTTCCGGTACGACGACTGTCTCGATACGATCAATGCGAAAAGTCGGCTCTGTTCGTGTAGGCTTCTTGATACTGGACCCAATGCCCAGGTGTCTCTTCTCCTGAACGCATGTCGTGACGCTCGGATTCAGTCGTGACAAAGTCACACCTTGGCTGTCACACGATCAGAATCATGAGGTTAGGTGTCTACTGCCGTTGGAAACGAAAGGAAAGTGCACGAGATTGGTAATGTTGCGACGGCTTCCCATTCCGCAGCCGCAAGGGGTATGACGTCACCCAGACTTTGAAGATAGCCCGATCTAACCTTACCTAGGTAGGAAGTTTCAGCTGCTAAAAGGTAGAGTTATAAATACGCACCTATATATCTCTGTTCTCTGGTTAATAAGCATCGCGTGCATGCCACAGCATACTGCTGCAGCCTGTTGAGGGCGGCCATCGGGCATGCCATTCGATCCCATGTTCGGCCGCCAGCCCCCATGCTGACCGTTGCGATGTTGCTCTGGCACGTTTGGGAAGAAGCGGCCCCCAAAACCCCACTACGTGCGTTCTCACTTTTCGCTAGACATTTCAACCTACCATTTCCCAGGAGCGATACAATCACCGGCGTATCCTTGTAGGTATAGCCCAATCATCATCTACGTCTCGACAACTTCCAAGGCCACTACTGGCTACCGCCTTCATCTCCATCATTTTGTAGCCAACAGTGTATCGACGAATGTTCCAGGGAAAATGTCTCCTGGTCTGCCTTAATCTGGCCAAGATATACCGACATGGAGATGTGCTGCGCCACTTTGCACATCCCAGCTTGCTGCTCGATAACGAAGCGCGCAGCCCCCGCGTATCACCCTTTGCGCGACGTCGAATCTGAATACTTTAACGATCTCGCGCTCGATTGGCGAACAATGTTACATGTCTATACCGATCGCGCAGCTGTGCTATTCAGAGATGCGCGAATCACTCCTTTGGAGTGCGAGCAGTCGGCCCCCACACGAATTATATCAAACAAGGTCACGCTTGGCAACTCGAAAGCTGAAGCGTGTAGCATCGGGGCTTATTTTTGCCTTGGTACAGCAGTACTGACTTATTCTCTCGATATCTATCACTCTAGGTCTCCCGCCACACAAATTAGTTGATTCATCTTCTTGTCTCAAGACACCAAAACCGAATTATCTTGCATGAACAATAACCCCCATCAACATGCCTTTATTCACTTTACAACCCCATACGAAACACATCCTTTTCGCGTCTTCCATCGTGGTTGTTCCAATGCTCACATTCACCGCGGTAATCCTGGTGCTAGTCTTTGATAATCTTGCAGATTACTTGCACTGTCCGCACGAAGAAATCTGCCCCGAGTCTCCAGCAGTCAACGTCACCTCGTCTTCCCACTACTACGTCGATTTTTCGGCTACTAGACTGGTATTCGTGTCCTCCCTATCGTCCACTATCAGCTTCGCCCTCGTAGGTGCTCTTATGTCGATCTACGCTTATTGCGCCGCGGATAGACTCACACGGGCTTCTATATCACCCAACCAAAACAAATGCCTTCCGACCTCGTACCACACCAGTCTTCTAATCAGACTGCTCAATGCAGACTATTTGTCACTGTGGGAGCTGTCGCGACAATGGTGTGTCTGGCCTCTTCGACGCGGCACGAAAAGCAAGCACCATGTGCAAAGCCCGAAACCAACAATTCTGAGAGCATCAACTGCAGTCCTTTGTCTGGGCCTGATCGCTAGGTACAATCATGAACTCCGTGCACATTACTTTCGCGCTGACAAAGATAGTATATTCGTCCATGCCGCAGACAGCTATCTCCATATAGCCACTGAGACAGTGGAGATGGTCCAAGTGTTTACGCAAGATCCTGTACAGCATCGATACGGCAGGAACATTGATCCTTGGTGCTTTGATAATCGTGAAGCGATGGGTACCGAGCGGAACAAAAACTTTTGGGGTTGCACGATGAATCTAACAAGCGACTATCTATTGTCCAACAACCTGTCTAACGTTGATGCCGTACAACGTGCAGGCTACGGCAAGTTCATCATGAATTTCACCGAGGAGACCGGGACCAAGTATGCGGTTGTGGGCCCAACAACGTCGCCCTCAGCTGCGGATTGGAAGGCGACGTCATTCGCCCTGTCCTCGCGTTGTGTTCCAATACCTGCGACAGCTTGCAATATCGAAGTAAATCCGGAAGCAACCAATGACGATGGCAGCATTAGCATACCCTTCAATTGCTCCATCGCTCGTGGCTCTCCAATTGACTACTCTGGAGTAACGCGTGGCAACCTCATGGCATATACCTTCTTCAATTTTCACAAATACCTGTCAGAACAGGGAACATCTTTCGTTACCAACGCTTTTGATGTGCCTGGCCTAATGTCGTCGTATAGCAACACTACAGACCAAGAGGGGGCTGAAATGGTTCCAAGCACATGGAGGTGGACAGCAGGCGTTAGAGTCAGTGACCTATCGAGCCTACCGCAGGATATGATTGATGTAGCCTGGTTCCTGCCATCAGGTTACTACATGGTTCTTGCATGCAACAGTACAGGTGTGTGGCTGCTTCTTGAAAGCATCTCATGACCGTGGCAGACCTCAACTAATGCGATATTATAGTACATGACGTTACGTATAGCACTGCTGGCGGCGTGGTCAAGAGTCTGACTGCAAAGGAGAGCAATGCTACAGTGGCAAGCATTTCTATACTTCCTTCAGTTAGTTTCTTTGGTTTCACAGAAAAGTTCAAGTATGAGCTACTGCGGGTGGTGAACCCACCTGTGTCATTGGACTCCTGGATATCGACTTATGAAATCGCAATGAGTGTGCTCTTTGCTACGCCTCTAGCAGTATACACAGTACCTGCGGATAGTATCGTGGTGCAGACTCGAGCCCGGAAGATCATGACTAGCGTACCTGTCGCTGCTGTCTGGCTACTAGTTCTCGCAAACCTGTTCTTTGCAGCTCTCGGAACTGGAATCGCCATCATGGCTTGGATGGTAGCGGATCAGGACGTTCATCAAGTAAGGACGCGGCTTGGTGTTCCCGGATTAGCGGCTGCTCTCTTCGAGAGGAACTCCGAGAACCGCATCGTCAAGTCTGACAAGGAGTTGTACCAGGAGAACGACAAGGACGGGCTGTCGCTGGTTCTTGTTGGAGTTCAGCATACCGTAACTGGAGGCATGGCGTGGTCACTTCGCGACAACCAAACTGGCCGGCTGTGTTTAGCGGACGGAGCGAAGATGTCGACTGCTCACATCAGTGACACCACGCACTCGATTTCAGAAGAGACGACCGGCACTGAGAATTTCGACCGCATGTCCAAAAGCTCTGGTAATGAGGCTGTGGAACATCAGCCAATCTCCGTCGTACCTTCAGAACTTGTCACCCAATCTGACGCTGTCAGCCCGATGCAACAATCTAATCACTGGGTGTAAAGAGAGACACCTACAGCCGTGGTCTCCCCGACCTATGCGACACCATGAGTGTATATGGCAGAGAGGGAAGGCGAGCCTTTGGCTGCAGTTTGACATGGAGGCTGCCCAGGTGTGCGAATGTCTGACTATCTCGACGCGAAAATCAAGGCGACTGGAACCTTGATATCATTACGAATAGATTCATACAAATGTGTATCATTGTTGAGATTGAAAGAAGAGTGCACTGAATCGATAGTGTTGCGTCGGCTTCCCCATTCCGCGACTGGCGTGACGTCACCGAACCCTGCAATATAGCCCGAACCGACCCCGGGGCCATACCTAGGTACCACCCATCAACATTATTACATCAACATCAACCTCCAAAGAGACGAAGGGATCTTTCAGCTACTTTTGATCATGTACAGGCCTCATATACAGAGATACACTACAAGTCCGCGTCCGCTGTCGATCGACAGTCTGGCGACCTGGCAAATGCAACACCGGACTTTGGGGTAACGTCCATAACAACAGACTAATCTCTTTCATTAAATGCACTGCGTTTCTGGTTCCATATTTGCCCTGCGTCGGGACATGCTCATCGATGAGGCTTGCCGTGATACCGTAACCGCCATGGTTTGCTTTCATCACGCACCAGCTTTCTTTCCGCTTCTCTCATTACATCTATCTATCCGTTCTCCGAAAATCGAGGCAACATTTCAGTATTAGGGTCAAATATGCGAGACCAGTGCGAGACGATCGAAAACGGACACCGCGATCAGAATTACAGTTGTGACATGACACATGCTGGAGTACCCGAGGCCGCCACTTTACCATCGCATGATAGCGAGAAGGCCGACAAGAGCAGCAACAAGAATGAACGAAGTGACATCCTCGATGTTGCAGGACAGGCTAGTTCAGGCAACAAGCTGAACAAATCGCAGGCGTCGCTGATCTACATCACGAATCAGGTAGGCATAGGTATCTTGGGTCTGCCTGCGGCGTTGCAAACTCTCGGATTAATCCCAGGAATTATCTGCATTATCGGGCTAGGTAAATTAGAGACCAGAAGAATGGATACTAGAAGCTATTTGCTAACACGAGTTCTGGTAGGCATCACGGTCATGTATACAGCATACGTCCTACTCCAGTTCTTCAGGAGATACCCTTCGGTCTTGAGTTGCGTCGACTGTTTCAGGATTATCGGCGGTACCTCTCTGTCCACGATCGTCGGCATTGGCTTCGTGCTCAACCAGCTCTTTGCTTGCTCATCTGCCGTCATCACAATGAGCATCGCGCTTAACAGCATCTCGGAGCATGCCATGTGCACCATCTTGTTCATTCTGGTTCCTACTATCTTTTCTTACGTTCTGTGTATGCCCAGACGCATGCAGTTCCTGGCGGATTTTGGCAGTGAGTCTAGCTTTTGTGTCGTCAGATGAAATGCTAAAAAGTGGCAGTTCCCTGCACCATCTCAATCCTTGCTGCGACTATCATCGTTATGGTTGCACTTGGTATCGCTGGACCTAACGGTGCGCCACCAGGATGGGAGAAAGAGATTGTGCTAGTTGGTCATCCTTCCTTCGCACAAGGTTTTACCTCCGTTCTTAATATCGCTTTCGCATATGCCGGCAATCAGGCGTTCGTTACCGTGATGGCAGAGATGCAAGACCCGTCAAAAGACTTTATGCCTTCCGTGTTCATTCTACAGGGCTTCGCAATTCCCATGTACACGATCGTTGGAACGGTCGTCTATGTATTGGCTGGAGAATACACAACCAGTCCGGCGCTCGGCGCAGCACCTATGATGATAGCTAAGATCGCGTATGGTCTTCTCCTACCTACGCTACTTGGAACATCGCTGGTGTTTGGCCATACATCGATCAAATACATGTTCATCGAGGGGCTACGCTTCATGGGCAGAGAGCGCGAGTACAGCCAAAACACCAGGCAGACCTGGGTAATGTGGCTCGGTATCGGCGCCGCCTTCTGGACTCTTGTATTCTTTCTCGCAAATGCGATACCACTTTTCCATTCCATCCTGTCGGTATCGGCCGCACTCTTCGTCTCTTGGTTTACCTTTGGGATATCGGGAGTCATGTGGCTCTACCTCAACTGGGACGTTCAGTTCCGCGATTGGAAGAAGACGTGTCTGGCTGTTCTAAACTGGACGATAATCGCATTGACTTTGTTTGCGAACGGTGTCGGTCTGTGGGCTTCAATTGAGCAGCTCGTAGCTGCGTACCATAATCCTCTCGTTCCTGTCGAAGGCTCGTTCACATGTGCTGATAATAGCGTTTGGGGGTAGCTAGGTATCCAGTCTCAATTCTTGAGCTTTCGTATATAATTAAGTCCCCATGCGAGTAATACCAGAAGTAGAATAAACGGCCCCTGGTATTCAACACTGCGGCTCTGTCTTATATTCAATCTCAGTGTATAAATTACAAGGACCAAACAGTAATCTAGATTTCCAGAGCGTCCTCGTTCTTTACATGACACCTTTACATACAACTTGAACAGGCGCAATATCTTCTCGTATTCGATGCAGAAAGTCTTCCTGGTCTTGCCGAATTTCCTGATGGATTCTTAGTTCATTTGTGATAAGACATGTCGTCCACCAGATACCGATAGTCACCGTTGCCGGCAAAAACCTCGCTTCTTGCATAGCTTCCCTGATATCAGTCGCGTACATCATCCCACGCTCTCTTCTCAGATACACTCTCGTCGTAGAGGGCGCTTGTACACTACAGTGCATCTTGCGATCAGTCGGACGCACTGCCTCCAGACTGTCAATTCCAAAATCGAGTTCTTCCAGCGCTGGGAAGCGTTCTAGAAGAGCGAAAACGCCTTGCATCTCATCGAGCAGCTGTAGGCACATGGCTTGATGGCTAGCGAAGAGCGCAACCATATTGCTCGGATCCATCATTACGCGATCGATACTGAAGCTGGGAATAGTGATGTATTTAACAAGCTTCCTGTTTTCCACTCCGATTTGGCGATAAAATTCTCGTGCCACCCAGCGTATGGACTCTGAGCCGTTGTGAAGAAAGAAGTTGAAACGGCTGAAGCAGTAGTTGAGAAGCTCGTCATGGAAGATGCGGCTGACGAACACAAGGCCTTGAATGCTTTCGAGACCCTGCAATTTGTAGCCACCGTGTCGCTGTCGGACGCTCATATTGATCGTTCGACTCTGGAAACTCTGCGCGAGAAGATAGTGGTATATCTGCTGGCGGATTTCGAGTGGTAGCCTGAGGAAGCCCGGGATGGTGGTTGCCATTGTTGATGACGTTGAGGAAGTTCTCGATGCTCGGGCATTCGAATGCAGTGTCGATAGCGGTGACTGCGCAATTAACTGTCTGTGGAATATCTACGGAGTGTACATGCGAAAGAGATGTTTGATAAGACAGATGCTTATTCGCGGCTGGTTCAGATGCAGAGATCTCAACGCATGCGCATCTGAAGGCGCCTAGGTCTGTGCTCATGCGGCACAGCAACCCCGCAAACGGCCTACCAACTTCTGTAGACAAAGCTGTTGGTAACACCTCTCGCCAGGCTTGCTTCTCCGTGTTCAACCACGGAAGTCGGATTCCCACCGCCTGATCTCCGGCATTGTCGCAGGATCCATACCTGGCATGTGACGTCTAAATTGCGTCCCACCGAGAAGATTATCAACCTCCACCGACCCAAAACATGAGCGATTTCACGACCGGGAACATTGTGCACATACCAAAGCTTGTTTGAACAGGATATTGCTATTTGTTTGCAAATAGATTAAACACTAAAAACTACCTCCAAGCCACCTTCGCTATCGACTTGCAGTAAACATAGTATGGTCAGAATGAAGACAGATGCAAGACGTGAACGCATAACGTAGCTAAACGTGATTGACAAAAGAGCTACGGGCTACATCATAGGGACTCTACAAGGAGACATCGATGGAGATGTTAAGACCGTCGAGAAGAGCGTCGACGCAGCCAAAGTTCTGCTCAACGTTGAGGTCACCGGGCGCCTTCCAGCCGTCGTTGGCGAAGGAGAAAACGCAGGACTCGGGACCGACGCTCTCGAGAATCTTCTTCATGGCAGTCTTCTGCTCCTGGACACCGGCAACAGCCTTGCCGTTGGAGGTACCAGCGCTGGGCCAGCCGATCTCAGTGATGAACTTGCCCTTGGCAGCAGCCTCGGGGCAGACCTTGGCGGCTTGCTCGAGTTGCTGAGCAGCGAAGTCACCAGCCATGTCAGCGGTGACGGACTGGGTGAAGTAGGGGTGGATCTGGACGGTGAAGATGTCGATGTGGTCGCAGAGAGCATCGCCAATCGTCTCCCACGAGCCAACAGTCTCGGTGGTGGTGATGGCAATGTCAGAGGGGAAGCCGGCGCCACGGAGCTCATCACGGACGTAGTCGAGGTAGGAACCAAGCTCGCTGACCTCGCAGTTACCGTTGAAGACACACTCGTTTCCAACAATAACCATGGCGACAGAGTCCTTGGGGGCGTTCTCCTTGATGTCGTTCAACTGGTCGTTGGCGTAGCTGGAGAAGGGACCCTTTCCGGCCTTGCCACCGGCCTCGAGGAAGATGCCGTAGATGACCTTGAGTCCGTACTTGGTGCACTCAGGGACAACGTGCTCGAAGACACCGCAGTCAGTGCTGTATGAGCGGATGGTGGTGAAACCGAGCTCAGAGATCTTCTTGATGTCGGCAGCAATCTCGTCGGCGGTCCTGCAGTTACCGTCGTTGGCGTAGGGAGTGTAGGTAATGGCCCACTTGTCGCCGTTGGTCTTGATGTGCTCACCGTTGTTGTAGCTACCGGTGGGCTTGGGCTTGTCAGAGCCGTGGGTGGCGCTGGGAGTGGGCTTGGGCTTCTCAGCCTCCTTGGAGGAAGCAGGGACCTCAGGGGTGTAGGCAGGCTTGGACGCCTCGGGAACCTCAGGAACAGCAGGCTTGGAGACCTCAGGAACGGTGGGGTAAGCCGGCTTGGAGGGAGCAGGTACCTCAGGGACAGCGGGCTTGGTGGTCTCAGGGACCTCAGGGACAGCGGGCTTAGTAACCTCAGGGACAGAGGGGTAAGCGGGCTTGGAGTTCTCTGGGACCGGGGCAGGGCCAGTGGGCTTTCCCTCCTCCTCAGTGCAGGTGGTGGAGGTCTCCGGGACAGCGGGAACAGCTGGGGTGGAGTGCTCTGGGACAGGAGCCGGGCTAGTGGGCTTGGGGGCCTCCATGGAGGAGGTCATGCCCTCCTCCTCAGTGCAGGTGGTGGAAGACTCCGGGACAGCGGGAACAGCTGGCTTGGAGGACTCGGGAACTGCGGGGTACGCAGGTGTGGAGGACATGGGCACCTCAGGGTAGGCCGGCTTGGAAGACTCGGGCATCGCAGGCATGCTGGACTCAGGGACCGCAGGCATGCTGGACTCGGGAACCGCAGGGTAGCCGGGCATGGAAGATCCGGGTACTACGGGAGCCGGGCTGGAGGGGGCCGGAACGACGGGAGTGTACATGGAAGTCTTTCCCTCCTCAGTGCAGGAGGTGGAGGCGGTCTCCGCATGGACGGAAGTTGGGACGGCGGGCATGGTGGAGTTGGGAGCCATGGATGGCACTGAATCATGTTAGTAGCTGTAAGACAATGGCCATGACTGTTCTTCTTCTTTCACGGCTCCTTCTAACATCGGTTTCACATACTTGCGGTTTCGTAGACGGTGGTGTAGACCGTGCAAACCTCCTCGGGAGCGTAAGCTCCACGGCGCATGTGGAATCCAGCATGAGCCTTGTGCTGCGCGGCAACAGCAGACCCAACGAGGGCAGCTGCAACGTAAGAGTAACGCATCTTGAACTTGTTTACGTGGTTTGGAGTGGCTAGGGGTAGTGGTGATCGTCCGCTGAGCGAGTGAAGCGGGTAATATTAAGTAAAGTGTGTAATGAGTGACGGGGCACAAAGGCCAAGGGTGCTTGTCAACGAGGCTGGTGATGCGTAACTTGAAAGCCTTGCGTAGTGAGAAAAAGAAGGAAACCTTGGGGAACACGGCGGTTTTGACCTATGTGCCATGGCCTGTGAGTACCAGTTGGTGGAGAACTGCCTCTAAGGCGTTAGGTTAGGGGTCCTGGAAATTGGCGTGATCATTGTTGTACAAGAACGGCATGGGCGGCATCCTACGGCTCTATTGAGATCGTGATGTGCTCCGAGCGGAAATGAGTCTGGGGTATAATTGTCGTGTTAGGTCGAGGGCGGGTCCAGTCTAGGTCGGGATGGGGCTAGCCTACTTTCACCCTGAGCAACCCTCCCGCGCAGGAGAGAGCGTCACGGCAACAAACACCACACCAAGTCTTTGCGCCAACTCCGCCGGGGAACGAGTGAACTCTATCGCAGCATAGCCACTTGTTGCATTTTCCCTAGCTGCCATGTGCCCGATAACCGTTTTGGTAAGACCCTCCTCGTGTCGCTAATTAGGACCCATCGGATGGTTCCATCCTCATCAAATCCACGGCAACGCGCATATCAGCAATCACAAGTAGCAATCGCGAACGGCTAATCTTTGTGCAGCTCGTAGTAGAGCAAGGGCACAGCTTGCGCCACCATGCAGGTACAGAACGACTTGTGCAGGGTTCTACCTACCGGGCGTTCTTTAATTGGCCGAAAGCCCATTGAAGGGTTGGGGTGGAAGTTCAGGCGGTGCTGGATGTTGGTGCGTGCCCCTTTCTTCTCACGACTCAAGACCGGCCGGCGCGTTATTACCGCACCCACCGCTATTGATGGACATCACTAAACTCTCCGCTTGACGATGCCGCGTTCGTCGGCAGACAGACACCCGCGAGCTACTAAACATAGATGTGGACAAGTGGGTTTTTTTTTCGTGCGCATGAATACGGTGTGTATGTCAACTTTACGAGCGGCGATCCATCGCAATTACAATGGCGCGTAGTCAGTTGTACCAAGCGCTGAGAGCCTTGGGTGCCTGGTCGGCATTGGCTACATAACTCGGTGCCGAGCGATTGAACAAGAAGTCAGGCGACCACTCTGTACCCGCGCTGACAGCCCTTCTAACCTATAGCTATAGGTACTCATTCGCCAACCAGCGACCATTCAAGCTACAATATGTAGCGTGCAAGTTCCAGCATTTGTCGCATCGTTGGTATTCCTACGGCTTCCACCGGTCCTCAACTTACAACCCAAGGATGGTCACATTATACACTTAACGATTTGCATACAACTTAAACAATGTAGTGAGTCGAGTATGTATTGTTATGCCATGAAATACCGCAATGTAGATCCAATTCCTCCAGGGCTACTTCGAGAACATCACTACGACCCAGTCTTCTGATCCACCCCCAGAGTCTGGACTCCCACCTCCCTACTGAGCAACGACCTCATCCTGTCTGTAGTACTTTGATCTGATCATATCGGCAAAATGCTTAGCTCCATCTCGACTGAAATGCCCCTCTTTCCCCTTTACCGTTTTGATTGCCGCCTTTGTGGACCGTGGAAACATTTCCTCCTCGTAGTCCTTCACAGCAGCATCCAGAGATTTCTCTCCACGGCACACTTTGACAATCTCCTTCGCCAATACCAACGCGTCTTTCATGCCCGTGTTAACTCCTAGTCCAGCAAATGGAGTGAAGACATGCGCAGCGTCGCCGATAAGGGTAACGCCTGAGCGAGAGGGCCAGCGAAATCCAACCGGCAGCTCGTACAGATTGCGAGGAATGAGACTGTCTTCATCAGAGGACATGATAACACGCTTGAGGTCATCGTGGATATGAGAGAGGTAGCGGTCGACAAAAGTGTTGCGCGCCGTCGCTTTGTTGTCCCAATCGATGCCACAGGTCTGCAGGAAATCCTCTGGTGCATGCACGCTGGCGTATGTCCCTAGGCTACCGTCGCCTTGCCGTTGGGACTGCACCGCGCAACCCTCTCCAAACGCGAACATCGAGCCCGAGCCGACGTAGTCAAGCAGCCAGGGATCAGCCTTGATGTCTTTGCAGCTCACTGCGATAGAAGCTATACCTGAGTACTGTGGCATTTGGTCGGTGAGAAGTTTGCGAACCTTGGACCACGCGCCATCTCCCCCGACCACGAGATCGAATCCGGACTCTTTCGTATCGTCTGAGAAGTGCAGATCGTATTTCCCCTCTCCTTCATCAGAGGACACGACTTCTTTCAACTTCTTCTCGAATTGTACGGACCCCTCCTTCAGGTTCTCGAACATCAGTGTCGCCAATGCCATTCGATCGATCTCAGGTCTTCCCTCAAACTTCTCATCCTCTTTGATGTCTTGCTTGTCAGCGCCATTCTCATCCCAGAGTACCTCTCCGTCCAAAGTCACAACCTTCATGCAGTCGCTCTCTGGACGTGCATGTTTGGCGAACGGTTCCCATAGCCCTGCTTCTTTGATGGCGAGCTGACCGGATTCTGGGTGGAGGTCCAGGGAGCCGCCTTGCGTGCGGAGTTCTGACGCGGACTCGAAGATGATGAAGGGGATAGAGTGCTTCTGAAGGATGTTGGCGAGGGTTAGAGAGGCAGGGCCAGCGCCAACTAGGCCAATCTTGGGTTGAAAAGGTTTCATGACTGATCCCATGGCTATTCAAGGGGGTTGCAAGTCGCTGACTGGTGTCTTGATGGACTTGGATTGCTGTTCGCGGTTCTCTAGCGACGACAAGTTCTTCAAGTTGGAAATGCAGGGCGTAAGCAAAGCGAAAAGTAGTGCAACTGGAGCTTCGTGATTCAAGATCCAATATAACTGATATCACACCTCCAAACCTCGCGATATATACATCTACACCTGTTCTGTTGCCTAGTTCAAGTGTCACGTGTCTCGTCCTCGCGCGGACCTTCGGGTCGCGAATGCGTGCACAGCGCGAGTTTGACGCGTCGGGCCCGAAACTGGACGAAGTGCCGAAAGTTTGCGCCTCGAAAGCCAGCCGCCACAGACATGAACTCAGAGACTGGGAATGACCTTCGAGATGTCATTCCCTTCGCCATCACTTGATGGGCTGTTCCAGAGGGCCTGGAAATGCATAACTCACATGTGCATGAGGGTCGTTCGAGATCAACGTGGCTCGACAGTCGCGTGAGTCCAGCCAATCTAGTGCTTACTGAGAGCAAATAAGGTTACATGTCGCAACGCGCCTTATCTGCATCAAGCTTTGAACCAAGCGATGTTCGGTGAATGCTGTGCCTGGGGCCGCAAGCCGTTGGAACGAGATGCGGAAGGAGCAATCACATCATGCCATTGTTCTTCTTCATTGAAAAGAACCGGTACGAGTTCCATGTGTTGGGATCTGATCGAGTTGCTTTTTCTTGTACTGCGCGATCGCCGTCCGCAATTACCTACGTCAGTCTAAAAGTATTCTACGATCCGAAGTGATTTCCTACATCGCATCCGAGATCCAGTCGCCAAATGAGGCGTTTCCTGATTAAAGACCTCCATGCTCAGAGTTGTGCGCACGTGAGAAATCTGTTCGTGTGTGCCGTGTTGTTGTTGGAACGTGCTGCCGGGTCCATAATTCCTGATACCCAACAGGAGATAAGACCCTGGCCAGCTTGCGAATCCAGAACCCGGCACGTCATCGCAATGCGATGATCATGCCAAACCCAGCCCTCCTCCGACCCTCCCCAGACCGGCTCTCTTGCTAGCCAGGGCAATATTATGGACTGTGTTTCCAATCCTTACTTTGACGGCATCAAAAGCAGCCTCAGGTGCCTGAACGAACTTACTGGTGTCGATATCTTGAACCAGAGCCACCCACTCAGGGTCAGGCTCAGCCAGGTTCCAAGCGATGCTGACGTGGAAATATTGCGAATAATCATGGCTTTGAGGCTCATTCTTGTCGACCTTCCTCCGCTTCGGACCGTCGTTGGAGTCATGGCTCTCCTTCGGACCGTCTCCCACTCCACCTGTATACAGACCTGGATGACCGCTGTATTGGGTCGCGTCGTTGCATGCTTGTAGCAGGCGGTTAAGTTCGTTGAGCGCGGACTTCTTAATGCCAAGGACCAAAAACCATCGATTGCGATCGAAGTTGGACACCCATTTCAAGTTCTGAAACCCAAAATTGAAAGCGCGCACTGCGGACCGCCGCACAGCAACACTTAATGATTCCAGAAAAGGCTCTCTGCTGTCGGTGTTGATTTGCAAGGTGCGCGACAAGGAGACATGAAGAGGTAGCGACGCACCCAGTTCTGATTGAAGAGATGGCATGATCTCTGGTACGGGCAGTTTCTTCGTTCGCTTGGCATTTTCAAGATCAATAGTATCTCTCACATGCTGTAGTAGGCTGTGTAGAGCATCAGACTCAGGCTGTGTAGGTATCCCTCGAACGCGTTAGTCTGTCGTCCATATTGGTGGTGAATATTTCTGGGTATCCTTACACTCTAAGTAAACATGACTAGGCCACTTGCCCTCGACGTGAGGTACAGCCCGTTTTCGCCCACCGTGTAGGCTTGGGTTGTCGCTAGTGCTGACGCGCGCATTCGTCGCGTAGAGGTCGTGAAAGGCTGGCGGAAGCGGTGGCAGGGCATCCCCAGAGGCGCTGTGCTTGCGCTTCGATGTAGGTTTGGCGGCAGATTGTGCCGTCTGGGCAGAGGCATCGAGGCTCTTATCATCATCATCCGAGGCGGAATCTGGATAATCGACCAGCGACATGGCGGGCTGGATCGTGATGGTGAGGGATCATCGTAGCTGTCGTCACTCGTGGAGAGGACCAAGCGGCGGACCCACTTGCAGCCTAGCGCATCCGCATGACGTATGGCAGCGATTGGGCCGCTCTTTTCTCCAAGAGCGGACAAGAAGAAATCTGACGCAGGGCCGCGACTGCGAACCGATGATGTACGCGTCTACGGTACCTGCCAAGTCAGGCCTTTATGTAGTTCGCTCTCCCTCCCGTCACCTGTTCTTTCCTCTCGTATCCATCTAGCACCTGACACTCGTCTGACCACTAATCTCCAATACTACAACCACTCCAACCTCCCCAAGTTCGTGAACTATCAAACACTAGCACACAAACCAACCATCATGGCAATGGACGCAGTAAGTGTTCATCTTTCGTTTGTTCCGGGCGCCTGGTTGGACTGTACTGTGCCTCCCATGTGCGCCGGCACGCCTCATTCAGGCCGTCTTAAAGCAGTTCAGCGCAATATATCATCTTTAGACATTGAAGCTGACTTAGCAGGCCCATCATGCGTTGATCGATCCTCTGATCGAACCAGACCCAAGCGACGAGACTGGCCTCAACAGCCACTTCCGCTCCACATATGCTCCCGCAGCACCCATCACACCACCCGGATCCGCTGGAGACGCCAAAGGCCACCCAACCGTCAGTGTCCACAACACCGGCAGTTCCGTCGAGACCAACCCATTCCGCCGCTCCCGGGCTTCATCCGAGGCAAAGGGCGCCTCGGCATCAGTATCGCAGGTTGGGCAAACTACACCGCAGAGTAGGAGGTATGATTACCCATCCCCTCCTGCCTCTGCAAGCCCCAGACGTGCCCATTTCTCCGACAACCACCGCGCGGAAATCTTCGGACCCATGAACGGAAGCCGGCCACGACGATCCAGCGAAAATGCCCCTGCATCCATGAAGAAGAGCGGAGTTACGCGCGACCGCTCAGGCTCATTGAGAGAGCGCTATCCTGGTGACAAGTCACACAGGCCTCTTGACCAATTGCGTCATGATGAGAAAGTTGCTCACCGTGCTCCCCATCTTAGGAAAAAGAACTTCCAAGGCGCCGACGTCATCGATCGTCTCGACAAGGCACCTTTCGGTCGGTACCACCACGAGGGCCCGTACGACGCTGCTAGTCTCGCTCGCAACCGCGTCGAGAAATACAGTCCCCTCGCGGCGGTCAAGGACTCGAACGAGGAGGCTTTGAGGGCTACTCCACGGGAGAACATTGTCGACTCTGTACAGAGGCATCGTCCCTTGGAGGGAGTCGCCATCGTACCACCTGGCATGGCTGATCGTTTCGGAAGAGTACTCAATTATGAAGAGGGTGCTGACCTGATGCGAGAGCCTGGAGCTGACTACCGTCGCTGGCCTGGTGTTGTATGTTCTCCAACCATTCTCAGGCTGAACTTCGCTAACACATCGCAGGAATACCACCCAGACGATCTCAAGGGCAAGGGCGAACCTTCCTACTCCATCGAGAAGGCCCTGAAGGACCACAAGCGCTTCGGCGACAGCGGCACAGAGATGACCACCCGCAGCTCTCGCACTCGCAGCGTTGGCCATGCCGAAGCACCCGGCATCGTCCCTTCCGTCGCTACCGACGCTGAAGCCTCTGGCATCGGCCGCAGCAACACCACTGGCAGGAGCGTCGGCGGCGCAATCAAGAGGCGTCTCGGTAGCATCCGTCGCCGCAAGCAGGAAGCTGAGATCTAGGGGATCCCGCTCTTCCCACGCTCCAAGCGTTTCTCCCAGGTTCCACACGCACACGCAACGGCTTGATGCCCATTCCGTTTTGAGCGACTTTTCGAAATTGTATACATACGCATGGCATACTGACGCATATTGAGCGTCATTGTTTTCCTTTCTGTTTTGGGTTCGACGGTATTAGCGCATAGATGACGTACATTCATGGTATATCATAGTTTGCGCCGCATATGGGGCTCGATAGGAGCTGTGTACGATATACGAGTAGTTTTTAGTAGGTTACGATTAATGACACACAACTAAACCAAACTTTTGCCAAATGCTCAAAATGCATGACATATGCTATTGTTGATATTATTTACTATCTATGACACCTACGCAAGCAATGAGCAAGAACGACTATCCAATCGCATACCCACCCAATGCCTACGCCAAACACATCTCCCAACCCTACAGAACCTAATACAAACGCCTACTGACTACATGACGACATTCAAACTCCATAATGCGCGCTGAAATATGCAACAAGGCGCCCAAAAAAACAGCAAGCGGGTAACAACATTAACCAGCCCAATACGCCACATTAACGAGAAAAGGGATACCCCTTCCTCTCCCATCACATAAAACTCATCTTAACCTCCTTCTCCTGCCCAAAATCATCCTCAAACTCATCAGCCCAAGCATTATGTCCCAGATCACCAGTAGACTGCGCAGGACCCAAACTACTCGCATGCGATTCCGTCTTCGCTGAGCGTAGAGGCGGGCGTTCAGCGGGACCCGAAGTATCCTCCCATGACGGCTGACCAGCACCTGAACTCCAAGGCTGAGCAGTACCAGAGTTGTTGTTACTACTGGGTGTGCCCGAGTCCCAGGGCGAGGATGTGCCAGAGCGACTTGGTTGTAAGGGTAAGGGTGATGCGGGGAGGGGGTATTTGTTGGGTGTTGTAGCGGAGGAAGGGGGGTCGCGGAACGAGGTGTCGAAGGTCATTTCCATTTGACCCGCGCCGGGGTCATCGAATTCGTCGTATTCGTCGTAGTGGCCGTTGGATGGAGAAGAAGATTTCTTGGGGTCTGTGCTCGGTATGCCTAGACTGTCGTTGTAGCTCTTCGTTTCCCTAAGCGTAGAGTACGGACTTGTTGTCTGGGATGGGGATACGGTTGCGATGTCGATCTTCATGGGCGGGAGCGTGCTTTTGATTTCTTTGATCTCGAACTCGGCTTCGGCGTTGTATTCTTTGCTTTCGGCGGCTAGGGTTGCTACTTCCTTTCTGATTGCGTCGATGTCGAACATGACCTGGTTCTCTGCGAGTTTCGCTGGGTCTTGGTCTACGTCTAGCTTCCGGTGGCCGGGCGGAGCGGCAGTGGAGTGTTCGTCGTAGACTTCCCAGTCTTTCTTGTCGGCCTTCTTCTTCTTCCACCAGCTTAGTTTTCCACCTTTCTTCTCCTTCTCTTGTGCCTTCTTCTCCAGGTCTTTTCGCGCTTCTTCAATCTCGTTGATGAGCTCGCGCTGGCGGATTTCGTGGTTCTCCGGGTCTGGGTCTTCGATCTCGGCGAATTCGTCGGATTCAACTAGCCAGCCAACCTCGCGGAGTAGCTTGGGCATGGCGGCACGGTAGGCCATGTGGCCGGGGACCAACTCGGTCACGTTTACGTTCTCGATGGTCGGGATCTGGACAGGCGCGAGACCAGCTACGCGCATTACACCACCACTGGTAGCACGGAAAAGGTAGCCTGGACAAACTGTTAACAGCCGACAACAAGTAGAAGAAAGATGTGCGACATACCCAAGATCCAGTCATTGGTAGCATACCCATTGACAAACCTTCCCGGTACGACAGATCTTGCCCTGATGTACTCATCATGTTTGGCTACTGCCGGTGTACCAAACATATAGACGTTCTGCACAATACCAAACGCCCCTCGATTCGCAAGTTCTTTCAGACATGAGAAAATGACTCTTGAGCCTAACGAGAAACCGACAAGGGTGACAGGTCGTGTACCTAGGTTACGATCAATGAGTGAGTCTGCAAGAATCAGACCAGCCATGTCTGCTCGTGCTTGCGAAACGATCCACGGATTATCGATAAGGTAAGAAAGCTTGGTCAAGGCCAGAGGAAGTGTCATGGCGGCCATGAGAGCTGTAAGGACGGTACTTCCCAAGACTTGTTGGAGACCTTGTGTGAGAGCCTGTTGTGGTCAGTAAGCACCTTTGCAGCTTGCATATATAAACTCACTTCAGTGGCAAGGATGTTGATTGTGTCACCCATACTCCTCAGCATCTCAGGTTCCCATAGCACGGAATATATATCGCCCATGATGGGATCGACCGTACTGTACGGAAGACGGACATCGTCAACCTTTCCGTTCATCCAGCCTGCCAACGTAATGATGAGATGCGTTCTCTTGTTGTTGTGAAGCGGACGGTACTCGAAAGTCTTGACAGCACCTGTTCGCCTGTTCATGGCTCGTACGCCAACAGTACTACCCGTGACTACGCCAGTCGATGTAATGATAGCGGCACCGCCAGCACCAGCTAGGAAACTACTCGTACCTGCCACACCAATCGTCGTAAAGCCCGCAGCGAGACCAGCACCAATGACTGGAGCAAGAAGTCCAGCAGACAATCCAATGACAAGACCACCGCCAACAGTTGCAAGACCCATGAATGCCAATCGCTTGTTGCGTGCCCGCTTAGCTCGGCTGACCATGTGTTCATCCTCGTTCCAGTTCTCTTTGTCTGCTTGTTCCTGCATCTCCAAAGCATCGGTGACACGCTTTTCGAAGCGACAAGCTTCCAGCCAGTCTACGCTGAGATATTGCCCAACTTGCTGGAACAGCTCTCGTGAACGTGAATCATAGACAGAGTCGGCGATGAGTACCAAGAACAGATCGCACAAGACGGTCCACCGCAAATCGATATCCAGGTTCTTACTAGTGGGAAGTTGTGATGGCGACCTAACTTCTGGATAATCAAAATCGTCATCCTGATGTTCCTGGTACGGCGGGGGAGGCGGTGTTCGCAGATCGTCTTGCGACTCCATCGTCGAAGCCCTCTTCAGTTTTGACTTCTCTGCGGGTGATTCGGGGCGCGGTGACGATATAGACGGTCTGGCAGAGTCCGATTCATTTACCGTCTCGGCATCTTCGGCTGCGGGATTCTTTACTCGAGCATTCTGCATCAGTGCTGGTGTGAGGTCTCCAGGAACGACGCCGTGTTCAGACAATTGCTCGATCATGATCTGCTCAGAGGCGTTGATGTCCATGTGCCCGTAAATCTTGACCATGATCTTCTGTGCCCACATTTTTGTGGTTCCTGACTGTAGCTCGAGCAGCTTCTTCATCTTCTTGTTGGTCGTTTCGAAGTTGGAGAACTTGCGTTCCATCTCCACCATGGCCAATCGTACCAGACCGACGTATGCGACACGCTGTCCTTCGGTAAGGAGGTTCTTCGTCGCCTGCATTTGCGAGAGCGGATCCCGACCCTCTTCGTCTTCGTCGGCCAGTGCAGTACTCCTCTCCTTGAACAGATAGGCGGTGTTGTCGTCCATGCTCGTTTGCGAGTCAGCATCATCGTCCATGATGACTCTGGTATATCCTTTGGCGGCGCCTCCGACGTTGGCATAGCCGTGCATGTCTTCCAGCTCTTCCGTGTTTTCCTTCGCAATGAGCCTGTTGTCGTCGTCGTACATGTCGTATCGAGCGTATGCGGGCATAGTCTGCCATTCGCCATCGTCCTCTTCCTTCTTCTCCTCCTTGACTTCTCTTTGTGACTGTATGACTGCATGCTGGTGTGAATACTCGGATACGGTCGGAACGCTCGTTTGTTGGGGAAGTGAAGGCGCGGCACTCGTGCTTGTGCGTGTTTCTGTGGTCTCGGGAGGCTTTGTGGGTTCGGGTGTGTCTTGCTTCGTTTCTACAGGCTTGTCTTCGGGTGCCTTGGGGTCGGTGTCCTCCACGGGCTCCTTCGCCTGCCCATTGACTTGCGGTGTCGCATCGCTTTCCTTCACAGTAACCTCAGGTGCGATCTCGGGAAGCTTCTCCACAGTACTGTCTGCCTTGGCTTCTTCCTTTTCTTGTGCTGACACCGCGAGTTCCTTCGGACTCGCTGCTGTAGCGGCTACGGCATCCTCAAACTTCTCCCCTTCCGAGTCGGAACTGTCCTCCACGGGCGTCCGCGGCCGCCTCTTCCGTATAGGCAGACCAAAATCATCGTATTCAACGGCTTCATTGGGTTCCTTCTTCACCTCCGCGGTCTCGGCATTATTTCCCTCATTCTTGGGGGCCGCGGCGGGGTTCTCGCTCATACTGGTGGGGACTACCGTGAGAAACGCATGGAGAGGCAGGGTCGCAGTCGTATCAACAGGGAAAAGCGCAGGGGCCGCCGTGGGGAGCAATTCAAATGTATGTGCGGGTACGTACAATATGTACAATTAGGCGTGGGATGCCCTGAGGCGGATTTACTAAAGCGGAGAGCAACGGGGGTGTCTCCAAGCCGCAGACGTCGCATACGGGGCTAGCGTCGCACGCGTGTGGCTGGTGCATGCGTTAGATTCCGCCCTCTGGGTCCAAACTTTGGCCGCATCCAACTTTTTTTCCCCGCGAGTAATCAACCACCCCCAAACACACAGTCACAATGAAGTTGAAGCGCGCAAAGGTAAGAGAGGGAATCCTATTGCATTTCCTTGAGTAGTCTGCTAATCGCACCACAGGCGTACAAAAAGCAGCTCCACCAATACGAACTCAACTTCGGCTTCCGCGAACCCTACCAAGTCCTGCTCGATTCACAAATCCTCGAAGATGCCTACTCCTGCAAAATCGACCTCCTCGCGCGACTCCAGAAGATGCTCGGCGGGCAGGTAAAGCCCATGATCACGACGTGCGACATGCGACACCTCTACCTCGCAGAACCGAAGAACGAGACCCTCATATTACAAGCCAAAGAATACGAACGTCGGCGGTGCAACCATCAAGATTTGGAGAAGCCGCTGAGTACGCTGGAGTGTCTGAGC